GGGCAGGGAGGGGGGCTTCAGTTTTGAATATGTGGATAGTCACTTCCTATTACAAGTCAAAATGGCACAAACAAGGAGCATCAGAAGAACTGCCGCCCCTGTACCCTCTGCCCTGTCCTCCCGGGGCTTCCTGGGGACCTCCACCTTGTGTCATCTTTGTCTTTGCGCTGTTTCTCTGTAATGATAAGCAAATGTTCGAAGGGTTCCTGTTTTCCTTTTCTGGTTTACCAGTAATGTGAATTTTAGAATTTCGCCTAGTTAAAAATCATCTGGTACTTTTATTTTGACTGAATTAAATGTTTAGATTGTTACAGGGGAAAAGTGAACATGTTGACAGTGTTGAATCAGTCTGGGCTGGGACAGCCAACAGGGTCACCCGGGGTGGGTGAGGACGGCTGTGGCACCCAGGGCACGGCTGTTCCCTGCTGTCCCCTCGTGGCCACCCATGTGCTTCATGGCACCTCTTCTTCGGGGCTGTCTTCTAAGATCGACTATGACTTTCTCTGGGATGGGGAATGGGAGTCACTAATTTATCATTTCCAGGTGTTTAGTTTCTTGGACATTAGTTTCAGAATCTTCCCTGCGATGTACTTTCTCTTGCACACCCTTTGCCCATGTTCTTTCCCACATTGTTCCTCCAAGTGGGGCTCACCACCTGCCCCTCTGAGGATGATCTACTCTTTAACTCTTTGCTGCTGTCAGTTTGTTGTCAATTTAAGCTGTGCTCTGACGTCCTGTCCTGGAAGCCACATGTGCGGGCAGCTGGCCTCAGCTGACCCTCGGTGTCACCGCTGAGACCTCAGCTGTCTGTGCCTTTCGCTGCCCTGCTTGTGAGGAGGTCAGCGTCTCATCATCTCTCACTGCTGGTTTTTTCCCTAAAAAGGTCTTTGAGAAACACGTACTTCCTGGGAGGAGGATTAGACTTCACTTCTTAGTACTGTTGCTGTCCTGTCTCTTGATTCTCTTGGAGCAGGACAGATCATGCGTCTCTGTGGTGAATGATTGTGGCGGAGGGGCGAGTAGTTGCAGGGGCTCTGGCAGGGCCTGCAGCAACGGCGGGGCAGTGTAGACGTGTGCAGCCCGGAGGGGGCTATTGGAAACTGGGGCGGGATCCTCCGTAACCAACATGGGCATCCTGGGCCAGGCAGGGGCTTGTGACTGGGGCTTCTTGAGGGGCACAGGAGACAAGGCTCGGCTGGGCTTGGTTCAGGTGTGGGTGTGTTGGTCGTGGGTGTGTTGGTCGTGGGTGTGTTGGCCGTGGGTGTGTTGGCCGTGCGCATGAAAATGAGGGCTCTCTTCCTGTACCTGGTTGTGGTGGGGTCCAGCCTCACAGTGGCCCTCTGTCGCCTGGCCGGCCTTGTGCAGTGCAGAGCCAGGGGGCTCCTGTGCCATCTGAGTTGTCCGGGACTCCGCCTGCCCCTCCTAGGTCACCTCCCATGGCTCGAGGATAGGGGGTGGAAGGGGCATGCAGGGGGCTGGAGCACTTAGGCTGGGAAGTCCAGCTTGTGGCCGGATGCCATATGCTCAGTGAGGAAGTGTCACCCTGTAAGATACTGGAACGCTGTTATCAGTCTTGCCCACAGATGTTAAAAATCATACATCTTTGGCCACCTTTTTCTGTTTGGTGTGTTTATATTCCTCAGTGACTTGAAGTGAATCTGATATGTTAGGACAGGAAGAAGTCAATAGCCTGTAAGAGTCCAGCTAACATGAAGGAGCCTTATCTGCCCCCCCCACCCCCCCACTGCCACTGTGTAGTGAGGACATAACCCTGAAGGAGCAGGAAGGAGATAGGTCACTCAGGGGCTTTGGGGCCGGGCAGCAGCGTGGCAGTGAATTCTGGGGCATTTCTCCCTCCCACACACCTGGATGGGTTGCTGGACCAGCCTCTAGCCTTCTGCCAATAGTCACAGACAAAACGCTTCAAGAAAACTTGGTTCCCCTTTGCCAAAACTGGCAAGAGGGTGGTTTACCGACAAAATCTTTTTGACGATGCTCCCACCAATCCCCAACTGCAAAGCTGCAAGTGATCCTCTTCCAGCCCATGGTGTCCCTTGTTCCTCAGAAACAGATGGCCTTCTGATCCTATGGCTGCCTGGGATTAGGGAGGGGGCTAATCTTGCATCCCTCTCCTGGCAGAAGGGTGACACCCAGGTCCCCCACCCATTGGTGTTAGCAGAGCCGTGCTGGAAGCTGACCTCTCCTACTTTGCCCAGCAGGCAGGGTCCTGATTCTCTGAGTGTCAGTGGGTCAGGGTGGAGTTGAACCTCACTGCCCCTGGCAGCAGTGACGTTAACCAGGTGGTGCCAGATGGCCTAGTCCATGCTGTGCTTTCCACCCCTGGGGTCAGTGGGGCGCTGCAGGGTGACCTCCATCCCTGACGTTGTCCCATGCTGCGTCCAGGCAGAGTGACTGGCTGCTAAAACAGACCTAGAGCCTCACAGTATAACACCCAGAATGTCCAGGATATGGTTGAGAATCACTCAGCAGACCAAGAGCCACGATAGTTCCAGCTCTAACAGAAAAAGACGGCAGATTCCTACATGGAACAGACCCTGATGTCAGAATTATTGGGCAAGGATTTTAAAGCAGTCATCCCAAAATTGCCTTGTGAGTTTTTTTGAAACAAATGAAAAAACGAATAGAGAAAAAAGGGAAATTAGAGTGAAAGATGCAGTGACTATAAAGACCTCAGTTGAAGAGCTTGGCAGTGGGATGGGGAACCCAGAGGCCCCCAAGGAAGCCCAGGGCAGGGAGCCAGTGCTGGCATCTAGAGGGTGTGAGTGAAGGTCCAGGAGATGGGGCTGCAGGGAAGGATCAGGCTGTGGCCCTGGGGTGGGGGGCTCAGGGCAGCAAGTATGTTTCATGTTTTGTACTCTGACCTGTAAAAATTAGATCTTCAGCAGGGTGGAGGCTGATCAGAATGCTGTGCTTGCCACTCGTCCATGACGAATTACCCAGAAGGGTCTGTTTCTAGGGGAGAAAGTGGTCATTGTAGGCTTGAGGAATGACGGTAGCTCTGAACGTGGAGGATGCTAGACGTGGCATGTCCCTTAGTGGCCCTTGGTCCTCAGTCCTCGAGGTAGCAGGGGTGTGTGGGCTCCTTGCTGGGGTTTTCTCGCAGTTGCCGGCGGGTGGGGGGTAGGGGGGAAGGCTGTCCTGGTGCCCCGGGCTTTCGAGGTGTGAAGTGGAGACGCCGAAGACACTCGCCACTCTGTGCTGCACTTTGCCTGCAGCCCCAGGGCTCCTGCCCATGACGGAAGTGGTGTGAACAGGGCTTTCATTCAGAATCCTGACAAGTGTAGGTAGCTTCTGAAATAGACCAATCCCATCACTTGGCAAAAAAGTAAGGAGAGGATGAGTCTGAGCCAGAGCAGTAGATGAGTGGGGTGAGGACGGGCCAGGGCAGGGGAGCTACATTTTACTTCCCAGTTACAGGGTGGGGCACCAGTTCTGGGGGTCCTTGGTGGAAATGACAGTTTTGCCCTACACATTTGGGAGTGATTTTTAATTTTTTTTTAAAAGGATGCACCAGATTATGTTTGGTATTTTTTTTTTCTTTTTGACAGCTTCCCAAAAAGAATTTTATCATCAAGATGCTGACAATTTAGTAGTTCATTATTTCTTTAATTATATAATAATACTAACAAGTTATTTAAGTGGAAGTCTTTATTGAATCGCTCAACATACTCCATTCAGCTAGTCTTTTTCTGCCAGGGATGCTCTTGGTATTGATGAAATAGTCATTTTGTGGGGCATACTCACACTGACTGGACTGTTGTGTACGGGAATGAAAAGAAAGTCTGATGGAACGATAGCTCAATAACTTTTACTATGTGAATATTTTGATATATTTTCAAATTAAAATATATTGAAATAAAATTGATTTTTACCCATTTTTGTTTTTGTTTTGCTATTTGGAAATAACAGTTTATGCTCATTGACAGATTACACTCATTTTTTCTCCATGTTTGGACACTTTATTTTGAAGATCTTTTAAAAAATTGTGTGCTGGACTCTGAATGAATCTGCTAATCACACTTTGTGGTCAGGCAGCAGTTCCTATTGAGGAGAGTCCCTGAATTCTCCCTCTGTGCCATGCTCTCTGTTGTGCATCCTGCATGGATCATCTTGTTTAACTTCCTAATAACCCTGTGAGGGCAGATGCTACTGGCATCCCCGTGTCACAGACTTAGGGTGGTTAACACCCAAGTGCTATAGCTGGTGGGGAACCACCCAACTCTAGAACATATGGGCCCATGTTGCCCAATTGACAGAGGGGTCATTTAAAATTTATAGTAGCCATAGTAAAAAAGTAAAAACGCAAACACAACAGATTAAATAAGTTTTATTTTACTATGTCTTATTTTGAAAATACATCCAAAATATTATTCATATTAAATGTTATTGAGCTGTTTTATTGCTTTTTGCAGAAGTGTTTGAAATCCTGGGTGTATTTTACACTTCTTTCACGGCGCTGTTCAAATACACCTGTTTCCAGTGCCGAGCAAGCCGTGTCTGGACAGAGTCCCAGAGTTCTCTGTGAGAGGCTGCCTGTAAAACAGATTGAAACAATGATAAGTGTTTCCGTTTAAAAATTTATCGGCTGTCATTTTGTTTTAAGGGAGTCTATTAAATTGTAATCTTCATTTGAATTCTGTTCCTGACCCTTCTGTGGTGGTGAAGTCATTCTGCTTCTCTAACATTTGCACAGCACAGATGTATGAAATGGCAGGTGCGCAGCAGCCAGTTAGAGAGCTCACTGTGCTCAGAAATGGCATTGTTCTCTCACCTGTTTCCATGCCTGTCTTTTTCTTCCAATGGAGATGATTCTTATATATTCATATTTGGACAGATTGACACATTTTTTGAGAGTGAAAATAGTGTTTGTTCTAGAGGAAAGAGTAGTTTGTGTATTGATCATTTCCAGTACCAGTTGTTTTAAGAAGTCATGGTCTTGAAACACTTACTCTACTCACGGATGGCCTTTGCTTTTGCAGAATCTCATCTGCTCTGAGTGTGGGGATGAGTTCACTCTGCAGAGCCAGTTGGCCATACACATGGAAGAACACCGCCAGGAGCTGGCCGGGAACCGGGTTCACACCTGCAAGGCCTGTAGGAAGGAGTTTGAGACATCCTCACAGCTGAAGGAGCACATGAAGACTCATTACAAAATTAGGTATGAGCCTTTGCTTGGGCTTGTTAGAAAAAAAGAAATCTATACAATATATTAAAGATTGGTGTAGTTTGCTGGGTTTAGTTAAAAATACTGTCTACTTTAGAAACGGCTACACAGATGCTAATCTCGTCGTGGTGTCAGGATATCCTAAAACGTGTAGTCATGTCTCCGGTAAGAAAGATAAGCTGAAAAATTTTTAAATAGGCATCAGGCTGCATGAGCAGAAATTTTTAGCTAGTATTATAGTGTTAAAGGTTGCAGAACAAGGTATTGGCAAAACGTTTTTATAGCAAAGTGACAAGGTGTATAAAGTAGATCTGCAAAGGCCAGGTCAGCACCCTTTTGAACGAATTAGTTTATTTATACTACCTGTTTAGAACTTACGTGTTCCTGACACAGTGCTTGGTGTGTATGTTAATATATGTCCGTAAGACTTTATTTAATCATGACTAGCAGCCCTACCAGACCAGGATACTTTAATGTCCCCACTTAGTGAATGAGAAGCCCTAGAGTATAAGTTACTTTCCCATGGTTTTATAGCTCAAAGATTTCAAGCGTCAAGGATTTAAACCCTAATAACTGCCTGGTTTTATTTTTTATTTTTTTACTGCCTAGTTTTAGAGCTCATAATAGTAGCAAATATGACTGTACTTAAATGCATACATGCATTTATTTCTAGTAAAACTTAACATGTCTTTCAAGGTTTCATATTTGGTTTATTCCTAATTGTATCTTTTTATTGAATTTTCATTTTCTTAGCAAAATGAAATACAAAGCACCCTCTGGCCCCTTGTGCTCTGGTTAGCTGATGGCCATGCTCAGTTGTCACACTCGAGCTGATTTCGCCAACACACTGTAAAAGCCAGTATCAGTTTTAACTGCTCTTACCAGTTTGGCTCACTGCCATTCCAAGCTCTGAAGTTTAGGAATTATGTGTGCTTTTAAAGAACAACTACAACCACCACAAAAGTGTGTGAAGGCTCTGTAGGATTTATTTATCCTCTTAGGCGCTGTGTTTTAGAAGCATGGACCACAGCCCCCACAGGGCCAGTGCTCCCTTACCCTTCCTATGCCCCCCACTTTGCCTGTTGTTGGCTAATTGTGCCCATCAAAGACGTCACTGCTTCAGTGATTTTTAAACTCCCAGACCAGACTGTCTGTGCTCTATCACACTAGATTTTTATTTTGATGAAGTTTTAACTCAGGCAATTTTGATGTGTCTCCAAGGGTTTTGGAGAGGTGATGAATGATGTCTAGGCAGCCAGCATGCCCTTGGCCACATTGGCTTCTGGCTCTTCTGGGATGTAGGGATGGGCCAGCCAGTCAGCCTCATCCTCATGGAGTGCTCATTTATTAGGGAGATAGTCAGTGAGACAGTTTCAGACAGTGCTTGTGTGGAGAAGGAAATGAAACTGGGTTGCTGTGGGGCAGTGCTGGAAGGGTGGGCAGGTTGGCGAGTGGACTGTTTTAGGCAGGCCATGCTGAGGAGGGGAGGATGTTTGAAGTGAGGAGGGCACTGCCATTCCTGAGAAGGGGATTACAGCAGATGGGAGAGCAGTTGCCCCAACTCAGCTGCGGTGAGTTTTCTCTGCATTTGAAAACAGAAAGGAGGCTGGCGCTTGGGAGCCACAGTGGAGGTTTGAAGGAGGTGGGGCCCAGGGGTTAAGGGCCTCCGAGGCCGTCCTGGGAATGAGGATTTTATCCCAAAGGTAGTGGGAAGCCTGCCCCAACTTAACTGTGGCATGGCTGCTGGGTGTGTGTGTGTGTGTGTGTGTGTGTTATGGAGGCAAGGATACCAGTGAATCCTCATGTGGAAAGAGGACACTTCTCAGATGGTGGTCTGATGACTGGACTGTGGAGAGGCCTAAGCATCTTTGCAGGTATTTTGAGTGAAACCAGTAACTTTTGGAGATGGACTTGAAGTCAGGGGTGAGAGAGAGCAAGAATCTGGGGCGACTCCTCAGGATTGACTTTGCCCAGATGGGAGCTGCTATGTCCTGCCTGGGAGCACAGCAGGTGGATGAGCAGAATCCTGTTCAGTTCATACTAGCTCACAGCTGCCAGGTAGCTGAGCACAGAGATGTCAGGTGGACAGGGAGTTGTCTAGGGCTGTATCTGGGTTGCTGGAGGGAGAACTTTGGGATCAGCAGCCTGTGGATGGTGTTGTAAGGAAGGAGCCTGGAGAATGAAGCAAGACTCAGCAGTGCAGGGATCATACCCACTCATGTCTGTATGTCTGACCACCACAGGTAGAGCTATGTCCAGAAGGGACGGTCTGACCTCTCCCCACCAAGAAAAAGCAAAACTAAGTTTATCTTTTCATCAGATAGGTAAAATGAATTTTATGGTAATGAACACACAGAACAACTGTGCGTGTTTGTGGAGACACACTTAAATGTGATTTCTCACTGAAGCATGTTCTGACCACTGGTCAGCCACACTTGCTGGTATTGTTTTAATCTTGAAATTGCGATACAGAGGAGATGACTTCATGAATATTTCCCCCTGTGTTATCCTAGGGTATCAAGTACAAGGTCTTATAATCGGAACATCGACAGGAGTGGATTCACATATTCATGCCCACACTGTGGAAAGACATTTCAGAAGCCAAGTCAGCTAACTCGGCACATTAGGATACACACAGGTAGGAAATACACTCGCTTTTGGGTGATTCAGGATATGGCTCAAAGGGAAAGACGGGACGTGTGCCTTAGCACTAGCTAGACCTGGATGGTAACGTTGGCTTTTCTGTCCTTTGTGTGGCCTTGGTCCTAACTGAGATTTTGAGTAGACAGTGGATGTATGAGTCTACAGTACAGGCTGTGTTCTGTCTGGACAGATAGGTTTGGGGTCTCGAGTTTGGAGGTAATGCATTTCTCTTTTAATTCATCAGATGCTCATACAATGTGGAATTACATTTTGATCATTTTTTTCCGTCTCTAGGTGAAAGGCCGTTTAAATGTACTGAATGTGGGAAAGCTTTTAACCAGAAGGGGGCACTGCAAACTCACATGATTAAACATACAGGTGAAAAACCCCACGCCTGTGCCTTTTGTCCTGCTGCCTTTTCACAAAAAGGGAACCTGCAGTCACATGTGCAGAGAGTTCACTCAGAGGTAAACATGGCACTTGGGTGTGTGTGGTCCTCACAGGTTTTAGTGGATGGCTCTGGAGGGAAAGAGTCAGCCTGAGAAATCACTGTCTACTTTCAAAATGCAGATTTAGAATTTGTACAGAGCAGACTTTGTTTTAAACAAACAAGCAAGCAAATACATATATATAGAGAGAGAGAGAAAGAGAAAGAAACAGATCTGTGTGTGGAAACGTTTTGGCTTATATATTGCAGAAATATAAAATTATTTTTTCATGCTGTTATAGCTTTGATGAATAAATGTATGAAACTAATTATACCTTTATTAGTTATGATCCATTGATCTCATTGTTAACATACTTCATCCCTTTAGCAAATTTGAAACACAGATACTGTCAAGTGTAAAAAATTGAAAGAGAAAAAATAAATTAAGGGAACAAAGTATTTTTCCTATTCCTATTATTATTGCTAGACTCACATGTGGCCTTGTCCATGTTTTACCAGCCAGAGCCCTGGTCTGTTTTTCTCTGTGTTAACTATTTCAGTGACACTCATGTTCACCATTTCTTGTGTCTGCAGATCATACTGATTTATAAAGCCTCTGGAAGTGTGTCTTGTAAGCAGGTTATCCTTTGCTCCTACTTACTGTTATGGTTTGGTGTTTTATTTATAGTCTTAATTGTAGGGATCCCTGGGTGGCGCAGCGGTTTGGCGCGCCTGCCTTTGGCCCAGGGCGCGATCCTGGAGACCCGGGATCGAATCCCACATCGGGCTCCTGGTGCATGGAGCCTGTTTCTCCCTCTGCCTATGTCTCTGCCTCTCTCTCTTTCTCTCTCTGTGACTATCATAAATAAATAAAAATTAAAAAAAATTTTTTTATAGTCTTAATTGTAGAATATAAATAAACATCTAAGTGACAGATACTTCTATCACGGATCATTTTCTTTTATGTAACTGTTTTGCAGAATGAAGACTCATTTTTTAAAAGCAAATGTGTATTTTTAAATGTTTTCCTTGGAATAATGCCTTCAGTATTACTGAAATAAAAAGTTCATACATACTTCACATAGTTTATAAGCAGATTTGACCTTCCATATGCAATGAGTTACTTTTACAAACTAAGTTTTATTATCCAAGACCAACATACTTGAGGAAGGACACATAAATATTAGTGAGGCAGTGATAATATGGAGTGAGATTTCCTTTAGATCTCAGGAGAGTAGAAGTGGCTTAGACCAATTATTCTTGGGGAGCTGCCTCTGTGTGCTGACGATTGCTTCAAGGTGACTATTTCCTTGCGTGGCACCCAGAGAACCCTCACCGGCACCTCCGAGCAGGCTTGTGAAATGCTTGCTGCTGCCCCTGAGGTCAGGAAACCCCTCCAGAAGGGTAGGGGCTCTCCTGGCACCTGCCCCCCCCGGCACCTGGCCTCAGATCCCCTGGACCTGTGGTGGCAGATGGCCATGTTCCAGAAACGACCTCTGAGGACTGGTTTGTAAATGTTATCTAGTCCTGTGATGAAACTAACACCTTAAATTTGGTTCTTAACAAGGTGCTAGAAGTGGAACAGTTTCTATGTATAGAAGAGGCCGGTCAGTTTTTAGGCTGGCCTTGATAATTATAAGGATAACTAATGCTGAACTTGAATAATGGGTGAAAGAATAGTCTGGGTGCTTTCTGTGTGTCTGCAGGCCCCGCTGCATTTCTCTCCTCTCTGGTGACCACTGTTGGCCTTATCATAGCTATAACAGGTTGACTATAGGGATTGGTAATGAAAACGTTCAGCCTGTGGCCATCCTTCCCAACATGTATATAGGAACGGCCAAAGGCTTAGTTACAGTGCCGTTTACACCTTCGTAGACCTTATTATTTTACACTGTACGTAACCACTGAAGAAACTGAGAATATAAGTCAGCTGTCTTATTTTCACCAAATTACAATAATTGGAAAGTCTGTCCTCTTACTTCTGAACCTGTTCTAATTGATAGAAAAGACTTTTAAGTTTTGATTAATCTCACACTGGCAGTGTTGATTCAAGACTTGGGTCATTGATTTTAGAGCTATCCAATTGAAGAGAAAAAGTAATGTTAAATAGGTTACTTCTGTCATTTTTAATGGAATGGTATGTTACAATTTGCTGTAATTTAAATATTTTTATCTCATAGTTAATGGTAAAAAGTTGTTTTTTCTTTTTTGTTTTTGAAGGTCAAGAATGGCCCTACGTATAATTGTACAGAATGCAGTTGTGTATTTAAAAGTCTAGGTAGCCTGAACACTCACATCAGCAAGATGCACATGGGCGGACCACAGAATCCAGCAAGCTCTACAGAGACTGCTCACGTGTTAACGGTGAGTCTGGCAAGCTGCTTGGTAGGTAAGATAACCTTTTACCAAAATCTGTTGTCTTAATTGTGACCCTTTAAAATGGAATATTATTTAGAATATTATTGAGTACCGCACACGTGCTATGAAAGTTTTTTTATAAAGAGGTAAGGGTACTTTCTTAATTTTTAAATTAATGAAAGAAAACCAATCTTTTTAAACTTTACAATAGTTATCAGATGATCCTTATTTATGGACTGTTATCTGAAACCAATGAAAATCACACAAAATATAATCATTAATTTATGAAACTGTAATTCCTGCAGTGTTATTGATGATTACTATTGAATATTTTTTATCCCTCTGTGAGCATTTAAGAATCAATGATCCTTTTAAGATAACATTTCTCTATGTCTGATGGGACAGGGGTAATTTTTTCCTGAGTCTGTAGACTTTTGGGAAACTAAATCATGTTTTCTGAGATGTATGTAAGAGTGTACGACACACACTCGCATGCCTGTGTTCTGGTTCTGGGGAGAGTCTCCAGCTCTGCCCCGGTCTGTTACCTCTCCTACCCTCTCTGTTGGTGGGAAGCAGCCGAGCCTGAGTGTAGAGGATGTGTCTCCACCGCTGTGGACGGTGCTTCTGTGGACCTTGTGAGCTTGCTGGTGTTGTCAGCACCTGCCAGCATGGAAATTTGTTAGTGTTTACTTCCTAAGCATTAGGTTTGCATTTACGGTTTGTGTTTTGTTGTCTTTTCTCACAATATTGGGAGCTTGACATGATTCCTTGCCTTACTCCTGACTAGGGAGCCTTTCATAAATAAGTTCTAAAACTGGAGAATGATTAAAGTCTAATAATGAAGTCTTTTTTTATATAAATTTATTTTTTATTGGTGTTCAATTTGCCAACATACAGAATAACACCCAGTCCTCATCCCCCTCAGTGCCCGTCACCCATTCACCCCCACCCCCCGCCCTCCTCCCCTTCACCACCCCTAGTTCGTTTCCCAGAGTTAGGAGTCTTTATGTTCTGTCTCCCTTTCTGATATTTCCTACCCATTTCTTCTCCCTTCCCTTCTCTCCTCCCTTCCCTTTCACTATTATTTATATTCCCCAAATGAATGATACCATATAATGTTTGTCCTTCTCCGATTGACTTATTTCACTCAGCATAATACCCTCCAGTTCCATCCATGTTGAAGCAAATGGTGGGTATTTGTCATTTCTAATGGCTGAGGAATATTCCATCGTATACATAGACCACAGCTTCCTTATCCATTCATCTTTCAATGGACACCGAGGCTCCTTCCACAGTTTGGCTATTGTGGACATTGCTGCTAGAAACATCGGGGTGTAGGTGTCCCGGCATTTCACTGCATCTGAATCTTTGGGGTAAATCCCCAACAGTGCAATTGCTGGGTCATAGGGCAGGTCTATTTTTAACTCTTTGAGGAACCTCCACACAGTTTTCCAGAGTGACTGCACCAGTTCACATTCCCACCAACGGTGCAAGAGGGTTCCCCTTTCTCCGCATCCTCTCCAGCATTTGTGGTTTCCTGCCTTGTTAATTTTCCCCATTCTCACTGGTGTGAGGTGGTGTCTTATTGTGGTTTTGATTTGTATTTCCCTGATGCCAAGTGATGCAGAGCATTTTCTCATGTGCATGTTGGCCATGTCTGTGTCTTCCTCTGTGAGATTTCTCTTCATGTCTTTTGCCCATTTCATGATTGGATTGTTTGTTTCTTTGCTGTTGAGTTTAATAAGTTCTTTATAGATCTTGGAAACTAGCCCTTTATCTGATACGTCATTTACAAATATGTTCTCCTATTCTGTAGGTTGTCTTTGAGTTTTGTTGACTGTATCCTTTGCTGTGCAAAAGCTTCTTATCTTGATGAAGTTCCAGTAGTTCATTTTTGCTTTTGTTTCTTTTGCCTTCGTGGATGTATCTTGCAAGAAGTTACTGTGGCCAAGTTCAAAAAGGGTGTTGCCTGTGAAGTCTTAAAGTCCTATTTTGGACAGTCTTTTTTTTTCTTTTAAAGATTTTATTTATTTATTCATGAGGGACATACACAGAGAGAGGCAGAGACACACGCAGAGGGAGAAGCAGGCTCCATGCAGGGAGCTTGACGTGGGACTCGATCCCGGGTCACCAGGATCATGCCCTGGGCTGAAGGCGGCACTAAACTGCTGATCCACCCAGGCTGCCCCCCTATTTGGGACTGTTTTTTAAATAAGATTTTCAAAGTGTAAATCAATCAAATATTAGCGTTTTTACCATTTTCTTTGGCAATTATGCAAATCAAGTATGTAGCTATGGTTAATCGCCTGGAATAATCCAGATCATCTTAAATTTTACATTTTCATTAAAAACGTAAAAGTCTTTGGAAACGTGGAGTCTGCCCTACCTTTTTCCCGAGTCCGAGCATGCAAGGGCACTCTCTCAGACACTGGTCTGGGAAGCCCTGGACAGCCGTGGGCAGCCCTGTGGCCCATGCTCCCTGTCCTATTCTGCCTCTCACAGTTTCCGATTCTTGTTCCACTTTTGAGGGTTTTCCTCTACTCTGTCTTATGAAACTTCCATTGAATTTTTTTGAAGCTGCTAATACTCGTCCTTTGTGATCTGATCGCTTCTTTCTTTGCTGGTTTGGTGCAGTTTCTCCTGAAACCTAATTAGTGTTTCCTTTTTCAAAGTTCTCTTCTGTGCCTCGCGTGATCTGCTTCGGGCCTCCCGGCATCCTCCCTGCTCTGTAGGGCTTGTGACTCTGGACAGCTGGCTGCCCATGTGGGAGCCGATCGTGCACAGATGGAGCAGGGGCATGCCCAGGGCTCCATGACCTGTGCTTGGCCGGGAACCAACTGTGAAACTCGGGGGTCCTGGTGGCAGCACGTAGGGACTTTTTGTTCCATTGGGGAACTAAGTGCCACAAAAGGTGCCCTGGTGCTCCCCAGGAATTCATTTCTATCTCTTTTAGGGGTGATCCCCCATTTTTGTTGCTTCAGGGTAAGTGCCCATCATCCCTTCTGTGGATGGGGAAAGGGGCTCATGGTCAGCCCTAGGTATTTTTCCATCACCTTTAGCTTCGTCGTTGATAGACTTTGTTTCTTAGAGCAGCTTCAGGTTGGCAGAGAGAAAAAAGGACTCCCAGTTTATACCCCCGCCCCCTGCACACTGTGTCCCCAGTTCCTGAGCCGCACCCCGGCTGGGGCTGCAGGGTGTGTTAGGTCCACTTCACCCTGCGCCCCGGGTGCACCTTCATGGATCAGAGGGATGCTGTGTCTGGCTCCCACCATCTCTTCCATGTGGCATTTCAGACTCCTGAGTTCCTGGGGAGACAGGGCGGCTCTCTCCTTGGCTCTTTGTGGCTGTGGCTTTCCTGAGCGCTTCTGCCTCCAGTGCCCCTCTTTCAGAAATCTCCTGAATTATTTTGGCTCTCTTATTTTCTTTATTTTGTAACCCTTTTGCTTCTGTGTTTTACTGGGCAAGGCACGAAAGTGAGGCCTGTGAACTCAAACCCTCACCTTGAGCTGATCGCCTCTGCTGCCACTTAATGAATCCTTGGAACAAGTAGTGTGACAGTTTGTTCAGCACGTTCCTTCAAGGGCCTGATTATGCCTAATGGAAAAATCAATGAGGCATTTTATTTAAAATTTATGATTGGGATATTGTTAGATTTTAATGCTCATAAGGAAGATGTGCCTCTTCCTGTCTTTTTTTTTTTTCAAATTGAAGTACAAATGAATATACTTCTGACATTTTCAATGCTGCTGCTGCTGTGTTTCAGGCCACACTGTTCCAGACGTTACCTCTCCAGCAGACGGAAGTCCACGTCACGTCCGCATCAAGCCAGCAGAATTCACAGGCCGTGACCGACGTCATCCAGCAGCTCCTGGAGCTCTCGGAGCCAGGGCCGGCCGAGTCCAGCCAGCCCCCGCAGCCCGGCCAGCAGCTCAGCATCACGGTGGGCATCAACCAGGACATTTTGCAGGTGAGGTGCACCTTCGTGCTCTTGTCCGTGCTTGTCCGAGACCGAAAAATAAATCATCAGGTCTTGTCAAAGGGGAATCATCATTAAATATGTGTCCTAACTTAAAGCATCCTGTCGGAACATAGGACGTGTTTACGGACAGTGCAGAGTTCTAAATGGTTAATCTGTAAATTTAGCAAAAATTAAAAACTTAGTTTTCTCTGTAAGTGATTTACTTGAGAAGAATAGGTTTTTTAGAACTTTCCTATATCCTGTGTAACTATTGGAGAGAGTCAGTTCCACTTCTCTTATCAGCGTGTGGATGGAGAGAAGAAGGCAGTGGGGCAAAGCACGCTTTTCTAATTTTTCTCCACCAGCCCAGCTTTATCCTCAGATCCTATGTTTGCAAACAGAGCTGGCCTGCCCTATCCTTCCTATTTAGTTACCAGTTATAAAAACTAACCTGTGTCCTGTCTGTACTATTGGGGGGATGAGTTGGGAGGAAGAGAGCATGGCAGCCGAGGTCTTAAGGGCAAACTTACTATAACTTAAAACCCATTTAACTTAAACCCAGATCTGTTTAGAGTTAGGCAAAGTAGTCTGAAGTAAAATTTCTAGATGTCAAAATAATTAATTCCAATTTGTTTTGATTTACCATTCCGTATTTTGTGGAGGTGAGATGTCAGTTATCAGAAGGGACATTTTAGCTTCAAGGAGTTGCAAGTCTGTCTTATAAGTGACTGTTGGCAGTGCAGGTTTTCACATTGCTGGTAGGGTGGAGTTAGAACTCTGGGTAAAGCCTTATTGCATCTTTGTAATTGATTTTGGCAGGCAGATTTGGGCCTCCCACCTCCTAACCTGTTAGTTCTGTTCTGTCTCAGCAAGCCTTAGAAAACAGTGGGCTGTCTTCAATTCCAGCTGCAGCACACGCTCACGACACCAGCCACGCCAGGACGTCCTCTGCGCAGAGCCAAAATCCAGATGCTCCTCACACTGCGAGTGAACAGACCCACCCCACAGATGCAGAGCAGGAAAAAGAACAAGAAAGCCCAGAGAAGTTGGATAAAAAAGAAAAAAAAATTATAAAGAAGAAGTCACCATTTCTGCCTGGTAATTTTAATATGCTTTAAGGTTTGCGTGTTTTGGAGGGCATGTTGATACGCCTATTTTTTTTTTTTTTTTTTTGAAGGAGGTATGTTTGCTGAATGTTCTGATAGTATCGAACTATTTGTTTTATATTTAAAATTAGAAACCATGACACTTGTAACATCTTTCCCTGTGATTGCTGTCTTCTCCTGACAGTCCCTCGGGCTTGTTCCTGGATCGTCTTTGCTGCTCCCTGCAGCCGTGTGCTGACCATGTCTGGCCCTCCCCTTCCCACAGCGCCGCCGCCAGACTTGTGAGCGCAGCTCTGGGCTGGACCCTCGGCCGTTTTCCCCATGTCCCTGCAACTCCAGCTCCCCAGTGTTCTGGCTGCTGCCCTCCCCACAACCTGCCCCCACCCTGGACTTCGGGGTGCACACTGATAGCACAGGGAGGGTCCTGAACAGTACGGGTTTCGAGGCCCATCCTTTCCACAGGCTGGTCTGCATTGGGTGCTCTTTCCCTGCCTCCTTCCCACTGTCTCTGTGAGCTCTGGCAGCTGGTCAGTTGTGCCGCACAGCCTCCTCCAAAGGCCACCAAGCACCATGCTGCTGCTACCTGTGCCCACAGTGCCCAGGATGTTTCTGAGCCTCCAGGCCCATGTGTGGGCTGCTGGGTGGCCGCATCCCTTCTGTTTGCCCCTGAGCACCTGTGGGCCTCACGATGACTCTTGCTCCGGGGCGGCCGTGGCTATGTCCTCCTCCATGCAAGGGGTTTCCGTCTTGTGGGCGAGAATGGTTCCCTAGATGTGTTTCCTTAGGGACCCTCATGGTGTCTTGGGGAGCGAGCCCTCTCTTGTAGGCAGAGCAGTGAACACTCAGCTCTGGGAGCACTGAACAGGGCTTCCCTCTGAGAAGGTTTTCTCAGTGTTGGCATGTGGTGGGCTGTCGTGTGAACCCACAGAATGTGGTAGCTCTTCTCTTTCCCTTGATCTGCCCCCCTTGTCCCCAAGTGAAAACCAGGATGATGGAATTGAAGCACTTTATCATCCAGGGATTCCTGGTGTCCAGGGAGGAAAGAAGGGGGGAAAAGCACCATTTCCACGCATTTTTTATTCGCTGTGCGAAATCTTCTTGGAATAAGTGACCTTGCGTTTTTTCCTGTGCACCTGATAAAGGGTGGACACATGCCACCTGTAGAACCTCCTGTGGGTGGGTGCTGGCTGCCGTCATACCTCAGACGGCACTCAGACTTTGGCAGGTGCTCTCCCAGGGGACCCCGAGAGGAAATGGCTCCAGGACTGGAGGAGGACACTCTGCATCCCCAAGCCTCAGCTGGTGGCAGGACAGGATTTCCGCGAAGCATGCACATGACTCAAATATGGACCAGTCTGCTGTGGGGTTCACAGAGATCATGTTGGCTAATTTGTGAAGTGTCTGAATAAACACACACGTAGATGACTGAGCAAGTTTACCTAGTTCTACTGAATTTTAGATTAAACGTGATCCTCAGTACGAGTTAGAGCCAGCATTTTTTTTTTTTTTTTTTTTTTTTTAGTTGATCCCTCACATATTGTGCAAGGATCACTGGGGACATGCTTCCATAGAAAGGTATTTCTTTGGTTGAAACTTCTCAGGGAGCAGGACACGTTTACTGTAGTGACTGTTTCTGGAACTTGCCATGCAGGGGGAGTTGAGTGCTGTTTGGCACCCTGAGTAGACCATGAGCATCACCTCTTCTTAGCAGCTTCAAATTAGCCTGGATCACATGTCCAGGTTGTACACACTCTGCCAACTGAAGCTGTCAGTGTAGTTCTGTGAGAGTGTTTTTTTTTTTTTTTTAAAGATTTTATTTATTCATGAGAGACAGAGAGATGCATAGACACAGCCAGAGGGAGAAGCAGGAGCCCAATATGAGACTCTATCCCAGGACCCCCCGGTATCATGCCCCAAGCCAAAGGCAGATGCTCAACTGCTGAGCCACCCAGGCATCACTGTGAGAATGTTTTTAGTAGAATTTATTTTGTTATTTTAAGAGGTATTTTATATATTGATTAAAAATTTAGCAAGCGCTTTTATGTTTATCATAAAACTTGACATACAGATTATTATTAAAATTTCACAAAGTTTGATATTTATTGTGGTCAGACATTGGCTCTCTGGAAATCACGATAAAAGGTGTTTCGAAAGCAGGTAACTTACTCCTCTAAGGATGACAGGGGCAGAACTCTTCTGGGTGGAGATCTTTCTCGAGGCCACAGAGATTTTACTTTCTTGGACCAGAGTGTGATCCGGAAACCTTAGCCTCTTCCTGACGACTGAGTCATGAATTTGACTCCTACTCTGTGCCGTGATAGGCTGGTGTCCTGGCAGCCAGCTTGGGGCACGGGCTCCAGGATGCTGGGGGCTTTAGTTCTCAACCCTCAAAAATACTGTGTGTTACCCCTTGCATGTGGGTTCTAGTTCTCTGTACAGCCCTCCTCCTGCTTTTTTTTTCTGCTGCTTGTAACCTGCAAGTCCATGCAGCTCTGATAAATTATGACTCAAAACATTGACAGAGAGTTAAGTATAAATTCATTCTAGGTAAGAACTTTTGCAACTGTTGTTCTTTTCTAAAAACAACATGCATGCACATGTTTGGATTTTTATATCTGCTTTGAATAACTCAAAAGATTGATATTTTCTTTTTATTGATGCTTTTCTTTCCCTTTATTCTATGTTGTGAATAAAGAGGATTTTTTTATTCATAGTTCAGATAAATGAATTACTTTCTTGAATTACTTTCTGCTTTTTATATAATACAGGATAGAGAACTTTAAAAAGATTCATTTATTTGGGCATGGTTGAATTTAGTTGAAAATCTCATGATTTATCTCATTTGTGTACAATTTTCAGAGTTTATGAGGTTTTGTTTAGGTTCTGTTTTGAGTTGTCATTTATAATTAGATATAAATATTATCTTAAGACCTTTACTTTTTTAAATGGTAAGCTGGCTTTGAGCTGAGTGCCTGTGACATAGAACATATAACACAGCATAGCATGAGGTGTACTGGGAAGGACAGTTAGGTCTGAGGTGTCCATGATGCAGTGCACAGTGAGTGCATGGGCAATGCACAGCAGAAACAACAGTTTTAGGTCACAGAGGCAGATTGTTGGTTAAAGATGTGCCCTGTGTTTAGAGATGGGAGAAATCAGCGGGCCACAGTGAGAAAGTAAAAGATTGACTGAGTTGGAGGGATGAGAACCAAGTCCTCATTGAAATGGAGTGAAGCCCACAGGGATCAGTGAGAGTCAGGTGAGGCAGGAGAGCATTCTGCTCCGAGGATCGTAGTAACAGTTTCTGCTCATTTATTTTTCTATATTAAAAATAATTTTGAAACTATCTATGGGGATCCCTGAGTAGTTCAGTGGTTTAGCATTTGCCTTCGGCCCAGGGTGTGGTCCCAGAGTCCCAGGATCGATTCCCACATCAGGCTCCCTGCAATGGAGCCTGCTTCTCCCTCTGCCTGTGTCTCTGCCCTCCCCCCCCCCCCTTTCTCTGTGTGTCTCATGAATAAATAAATAAAATCTTAAAAAAGAAAAAAACAGCGTTCTAGCATTAAATTTTCTTTTATATATTAATCATGAATCCAGCAACCAGTCAACTTCTATTGTTAATTGTAGCAGTTTGTCTGGAAATTATTTTGAGTTTTTCATGTAGATACTATATTGTGTATGAATAATGGCAGTTTTCCTCTTCTTGGTATATTGGCTTGGACTTCTGCCACAGGGTTGTATAGAAGTATGGAGAGTGGTCCTCTTCCAGCCTGCCTTTTTTTTTTTTTTTTTTTTTAATGAGTGGGGAGTGAGGGGGGCAGAGACACAGGCAGAGGGAGAAGCAGGCTCCTGCAGAGAGCCCGATGTGGAACTCGATCCTGGGACTCCAGGATTATGCCCTGGGCCAAAGGCCCCCCATCCTGACTTTTAGAGGGATGGTTTTAATGTTTCACAGTTGAATTTATCTTTTTACAAATGTTGTCATTGGACCTTTCAGATTTGAGAGGCTGTCTTCTGTATTTGGTTTTCTAAGATGGTTTTTTCCCCCCTATCTTATGTTAAATATTATCAAATGCCCTTTTTTCTCTATTGGTATGATCACATGTTTTTCTACTTTAATCTCTGAGGTGGTAAATCATAGTAATTGATTAATGGAAAGCAAACCATGTCTTCTGCCGGGGCTTCCATGTTACTCTGGTTTCTCTCTTCCCCTTCTGTCTCCCTCTGTCTCTTTCTTCCCCTCTGTTTTTTCTTTATGGCACATTTTTTAATTTCTTGGCTAGTGATATTTTTTCGATTTCACCTAATAATATATACTTCTTTATTAAAAAAATGGATAACACCAGCATTTACTTTTAAATCAGTTAATTTATAAAACCATTATCTTTTATAGAGTGTACATTGATGTTAAAACAACTTAAATATAATTGCTATCTAGAAAAAAATTACTTCTGATTATTGTATTTGCTTCATACTTTCAAGTATTTTTATATGCAACAATTTGAGTTGGCATGTAAAGCAACTTCCGTAGTTGTCACTTAGCTGTCTTTGGGGAGAATCACACTCACTTTACAGAGAAATCATAATGCATATTTTGCAGTAAGCTCACAGCAGTGTTAAAAAGATCAGTGTGAATGACACAGAAACATTTCTTCTTTATAAATCACTCGCTGGAGCTCCCAGCAATAAAGTGGGCATAGGGAGAGCTGCTGTTAAGACTTTGCTCTCTGGAGGGACACCTTTGAGTCATTTTTAAGAACTTTAGCATCAGGCTTCTGGAGCTCTTTTTTTTTTTTTTTCTTCTCTTTTTTAAATTTATTATAGTCACAGAGAGAGAGAGAGAGAGAAGCAGAGACATAGGCAGAGGGAGAAGCAGGCTCCATGCACCGGGAGCCCGATGTGGGATTCGATCCGGGGTCTCCAGGACCGCGCCCTGGGCCAAAGGCAGGCGCCAAACCGCTGCGCCACCCAGGGATCCCACTTCTGGAGCTC